AAAAAAAAAAAAAAAAAAAAAAGAATGGGACAGAGCAAGGCCTGGATTAACACTGAATCACAGACTGCAAAAGCCCACCCTTGGAACAAGCTGGCAGTTTCTTCCACTCTGCTTGCACAGCTGGGATGGGATCTAGGGATGTAGACCCCTGTTCAAAGTCACTCGGGTGATTTTGATGGGCAAACAGAACTACTTCTCTAAATGGCCAATGTTTTAAGAAAAAAAAAAAAAAAAGATCGTCAAAATCTGGAATTACATTAAGGGCTGAAGTCAAACCTGGATCACATTATGTTTCATGTATTTTTTTTTTTTTTTTTGAGACGGAGTTTCGCTCTTGTTACCCAGGCTGGAGTGCAATGGCACGATCTCGGCTCACCGCAACCTCCGCCTCCTGGTTCAGGCAATTCTCCTGCCTCAGCCTCCTGAGTAGCTGGGATTACAGGCACACGCCACCATGCCCAGCTGATTTTTTGTATTTTTAGTAGAGACGGGGTTTCACCATGTTGACCAGGATGGTCTCGATCTCTTGACCTTGTGATCCACCCGCCTCGGCCTCCCAAAGTGCTGGGATTACAGGCTTGAGCCACCGCGCCCGGCCCATGTATATTATTAAGGTATGATGTCCTGGATAGCATTTTAAAAACTCAGGTAAGTTTCATGGGGCTTTTCTTATAAGAAAATTCAGTAAGACAGTATACCAAACCCAATGTAAAAATAAGTTTAAAATTAAGTAAGACAGTATGCCAAACCCCAATGTAAAAATAAGTTTATTTTATGTATCTGATAGTTCTTACAGCCTGTAAATATTCAACATTATTCCATTTAAACATTGTTTTTAATAGCTGTCTACCTTGTTCTGATTTTCCTAAAGCTTCACACTACATAGGCTGGGCATGATAGCCCATGCCTGCAATCCCAACACTTTGGGAGGCCGATGAGGGTGGATCACTTGAGGTCAGGAGTTCGAGACCAGTCTGGCCAACATGGCAAAATCCCATCTCTACTTAAAAATACAAAAATTAGCCAGGCATGGTGGCGCACATCTGAAATCCCAGCTACTTGGGAGGCTGAGGCAGGAAAAACGCTTGAACCCAGGAGATGGAGGTTGCAGTGAGCCAAGATTGCACCACCGCACTCTAGCTTGGGTGACAGAACAAAACTTTCAGAAAAAATATAGTAAAATTAAATTTTAAAAAAGTTTCATACTCTAAACCTTAATTTTAATGACATATTGCCTAGTCAATAGACAAGCCTTATGTCTTTTCTGGTAATAAACTGGCCTTGTGTGTTCAGTTTCCTTTCATACTTAAGTCTTTCCTGAATTGCTGTCGTCATTCAACAGCAGTTGCATGGTGCCTTGCTGTCAAAGTAGATTTCGTCCCCAAATGGATATCTGTAATGAAAGAATACAAAGGTGAAATTTTACTTAAAATTTTTTAAAAATAATTGTTTTTGGATTAAAAGGCGTTAACTGCAAGCAGCATTAATTCCACTCACAGTTACAGTCCATCACCTGGGGATTCACTACTTTTCAGAATCAGATCACAGATCAAAAGACAGCTCTCACCATGGGGGCATATCCCCCAATCAGTGTGAACACATCTTGTCCCCAGAGGACTACTTTATATGCATGGATGTTCACAAATTTATTCTAAACCACAGGTGTCTGTCAGAATTCATTTGTTACATGCCCGCTGTGTTAAAAATCTTAAAATCCTTTTGCACTTCTTAGAAAAAAATAATCTGATGAAATACTAAAGATGTTTGCAGTATTAAATTAGAATATACTAACATGTATAATTTTTTTGAGACAAGGTCTTGCTTTGTCACCCAGGCTGGAGTACAGTGGCTCAATATAACTCGCTGCCACCTTGTGATCCCCCTGCCTCAGCCTTCCAAGTAGCTGGGACTACAGGCATGTACCACCATGCCTGGCTAGTTTTATTTTTAGTAGAGACAAGGTCTTGCTTTGTCGCCCAGGCTGGTCTTGAATTCGTAGGCTTAAGTCATCATCCTGCCTTGACCTCCCAAAGTGCTGGGATTGTAGGCATGAGCCACTGCACCTGGCCTAAAATGAAATTGTTACAGGCATGTAAGTAACACTTCTTGGATCAAAATGTGTATTCTGCATTTTATATTTAAAAAAAAAATCAAAAAGTGCTTGGGATACAAATGTCTGCATGAAAATTTACAGACTTTATTCCTGACTGGTATCATTTTTAGTTAGCAGCTGAACATAACTTTATAGTTGTGAATATGGTTAAAATAAAGGACACCTGATGTATATGAAATCTGCTAGCTAAGGACAGGTACAAAATTAATGCATAGCTTTTTAAAAAGTTTAAAATGTACAATCAGGAGAAGGGCACAAAAAAGAAAAAAAAAAAGTTTAAAATGAGGAATGCTTTTGATAATCAGAAAAACTAAAGTGCTGACTCATGGCCTGTCTGCAGTTAATGAAGGCACCAAACTCTATTTTTTCCTCATCATGGTATTCTTCTCTGTGTAGAGATCTCTAAAAATTCAAACGTCCTGTGGACAAAACAATATGATTTGCTATAATATAAATAAGATATGCTAATATCTAATAGTCTCCACTGCTAGGATTCTGAGTAACAAGAAAAAGAGGTCTTATAAAAAGCCCATACATGGCCGGGCGCAGTGGCTCAAGCCTGTAATCCCAGCACTTTGGGAGGCCGAGGCGGGTGGATCACGAGGTCAAGAGATCGAGACCATCCTGGTCAACATGGTGAAACCCCGTCTCTACTAAAAATACAAAAAATTAGCTGGGCATGGTGGTGCATGCCTGTAATCCCAGCTACTCAGGAGGCTGAGGCAGGAGAATTGCCTGAACCCAGGAGGCGGAGGTTGCAGTGAGCCGAGATCGCGCCATTGCACTCCAGCCTGGGTAACATGAGTGAAACTCCGTCTCAAAAAAAAAAAAAAGCCCATACACTTCATCTATTGGGAACAGAAAGAAAGTCATTTTCAGTTGACTGACTCTGTAAAACAGATTACCAATATAACAAGCTATGTTATCTAAATTGCCCTGGCAGTCTTCAGTTTTGTCTAAGTAAACAAAGTAAAAGGGAAAATAAGGATGCAGGCCTAGTAACAGCTGCAGAAAAGATGAAACTACAAAGCCACAATGACCTGTGGGCAACCTACACAGAGACAAGCTGAGGTGTCAGACTGATCCTGGTAACGCATACTCCATGGCTGCAGGAAGATGCTGGAGTGCATCAAGTGGGTGGTCGGAACTACAGTGGATTCCACTAGGCAATGTAAGTTGGTTAGTGGGTTCCTGTACATGCCTGTAACAATAAAATTTCTTTTCTAATGTCCCCCATTCTAACTGGCCTCCTTAACTATCCAGAATCAGTGATGCCTGCCATCTGTTCATCTTAAAACATAAATTCTGAGACTGTTTTCTAAAATTAGCACTTCCTACTACATATCAAAGATGAAATCAAAAGCTTTTATATACATACGTGTGTGTGAATTCTAATTGTCAGTAAAAATGTGAATGTTGAAGTTGGCACCTGTGTAGTAATCAGAATACTTGCAGGTAAGAGAACAGACAGTATACTTTACGAAGCTAAAAGAAGACTTGAGAGCTGATGCTTGCCGCTAACTGGATCCTGTCCATGTGGTCCAGCCGTACTTCTTGCTGGGCTGCGTGTGCTGCCTTGGTCTGGGCTGCCCTCAGCATCCGACGTGAGCTGGGCTTTTTCTGCTGCAGGTTGACCTTCTGTATTCCCTGATGTGTCTCGGCCAGAGACAGACTTAGCAGGTTGGCTGCCTTCAGTACTGCTTTCTTTCAGTGTGCCTTCCCCAGGAATTCCACCAATCTCCGTGGGCTTTGTATCCAAAACAGGTGATTTATGCTATAAAGTACAAAATTACATTTTGTTTTAACCATTTAATGTAATGTGGACTCTTAGTAATCAAACATGCCTTACAAGTTCCCACCTAAATCCGTTGTAGCAAGCTCCAGACTGTGTCAAATCCATGGATCATAACTATATAAATGTTGATTGAAACCTCACCATACTCTACAGGAGAACTCCCACGGAGGAGTGGGAACACTTAGGACATACTTGGGGTCTAGCAGCCCAGCTTAGAAGGGGTCAAGAGAATCTGTAATCAGTATTGTTAATTTCTCTTGCCTGGTGAGAATAATTCATTTGACAAATATTTATTGAGCATATAGTAAGTTCTAAGTATTAGGGATACCGCAGGAACAAAATACATAAAACTGTTCTCACTAGAACTTATATTTAGGTTAGAAGAAAATCGCAAGTATGATATCTATGTTGAATTAAGGAGGCTATGTAGAAAAAGCAGAAAAAAGATGAGTGCTGAATGTGGAGTGGGCTGGTAGGATCAAATTACAGTTTAAGGTGGTCTGAAAAAGTGACGAGGCCAGGCATGGTGGCTCACACCTGTAATCCCATCATTTTGGGAGGCCAAGGTGAGAAGAGTACTTGAGGCCAGGAGTTTGAGACCAGCCAACAGCAAGCCCCCCATCTCTACGGAAAATAAAAAATATTAGCCAGCCATGATGGCATATGCCTATATTCCTAGTTACACAGAAGGCTGAGGCAGAAGGATTGCTTGAGCCCAGGATTTTGACGCTGCAATGAGCTATCACACCACTGCACCCCAGCCTTGGCTGGAGTGAGACCCTGTCTCCAAAAATAATAAAAATGAGTAAAGGCCTGAAGAAAGTTACCATACGCTGTATGAATGAACACTGTAGAGAGAGTGAATGGCAGGTACAAAGGCTCTCAGTTCAAGGAACAGTCAGGAGCCCTTGGGCTGAAGCAGAGTG